GCCCCTTAGGAGCCTCCAACCCTTCCCAGGCCTACACTTGCTCATTAACACTGGGTCTGTAGCACAAGGCACCCTCGACTGCTGTACACACCCTCTGGGACAATACGGTATGTCTCAGTCAGTCTGTTCCACTTTGGCAGCCTCCGACCCAAACTGCTCAAGTTCAATTGATCCCCGCTGGTCTGAAAACACTCAGTCTGCTCCTTATTTTCCAAGTTCCTACAGTAATCCTTTACAAAAATCAAAAACACTGCAAGAGTTCCAGCTTTCTAGAGCCTGAGAAAACTAAGCACTAATTTAGAGGAGAATAATGCTAACACTCCTTAAAACTATTCCAGACAAAATGTGTCCCATCAGCACCAATATAACCAACAACATAATTTCTCTCTTCCTGCACATAAGTCTGCAGCCCACTGTACTGATGCCTGAAGTTAACATTACCATGAAACCTCACTTTTCTAAATCACTAAGGGGTGGAGAGAAAGCACACTTTTAACAAAATGAGTTGACAGGACTCACTATTTTTTATTAAAGAACAAGGCACTAAGCTGGGAAGCAGTTTTGATTTTTCAAAAAAAAATAAAGTCATGTATCTGATATACTGGCAAGTTTGTAGTGAATGCATGAGCAACTGGCAAAAGTGCGTCATAAGTTTCCAACATATGGGAAATGACATTTCCATTGCCAATGTGGGGACCATGAAAATAAATATGAAACGCACTCATCTCCATATCAATCAAAGGCTTACCCATCCTTCTAGTACCCAATTCCTTGATCACTCTCAAGCCAGAGATAACCCACATCTTCTCCAATGGCATTTCATGAGTGGAAAAATCCAAGAGCACTGACCACACACACATTGGGGGTAGTAATCTAAGTGTTCTTGCTCTCAACTGGAGTTACTATTTCTGGTTTCCCCAATAACACCTAGCATAGCTAACTATACAAAGGATCCAAAAAACCCCAAATGTACTGCCATTGAGTCAATTCTGACTCATCACAACCCCTTTTGGGTTCCTGAGGTGGTAAATCTTTATGGAAGTAGAGTGCCCAGTCTGCCCTCCAGAGTGGCTGGTGGGTTTGAACCGCCAACCTTCTAGTAAGCAGTCAAATGGCTTAGGCACTATGCCACCAGAGCTCCATACAAAGGAAGTACCCAGTAAATGCCAGAGATCTACCAAAATGACTTTAGAAAGGACTCTACTGACTTGGCATTCAAACCGAGAACATGGCAAATGACTTACAGAAACAGGTTACGTGTGGATTTGGTGCTGCGGAAGGAGTGATCAGGGGGGTTTTATCATCTCCTTGTTTTATTCCTCCCGTTCTTTGGGCAAACTGAGTAAATTTCACTTAAACCAGACCACAAAAACTGTTTAGCAATACTTTACGAAAATATCTTTAAACGTACCTTTGGTTTTATTTTTCTATAAACAAAGCAAAAAAAAAAAAAAGGTTCATGAAGAGAGGCTCTAAATATGTTAAAATGGTTTGCTTTAAAGGAAAAATTGCTGAAAAAAGCATTATTTTTGAAAGGCAATAGCTGTTAGATTCCATCTCACGGCTCCTCCTGATGCACTGAGAGTAATAGCAGGGAGGTGTGTGCCCTTACCCCTGTGTCCTCCCCGGAGGTGCTCTTCACAGACCAGAAGTCGGCTCTGCTCTGCTCTGCAGCCAACCGACGGCTGTGCTCCAGCCTCTCACGGGGGGAGCTGAGGCCCAGGAGCGCTGACAAGCCCTCACCAGCAGCAGTGATGCAGAGCGCCAGAATAAACTCAGAGGCAGCTTCTCACGGTTGAAAGGACCAGGCACAAGCTGTTTTCTCACATCCTCTGCCTCTTAAGGTTACAGCAGACCAGCCTCTGATCCAATTAAAATCCCTACAGTTTATGTTTTCTCAGAGAAGGACAAAGCAAAGATGACCTGTGCTTGCTGAGAACATAACCAGCCATGTATGGTCGTGGCTGATAAATGAAGAGTTAAAAAAGATTAAAAATGTAAGTCATGACTGCCATGAAATTGTTTACTCATGGTAAGGTGTTTCGGGCAGTTACAGATGTACAACAGTAAACTGTTAACAACCGTTTCCTGAAGAAAAATTTCCATTATAGATCACAGATAAGACAAAAAGCAGAGTGCAACGTCACGAGGAGCTCATCATTACCACCGAGAGAGGATGTGTTAGACGCACGTCAAGAGGGCCCACCCTCTCTGGAAACCACTTTCAAGAAAAATTATACTTTGAGGAGCATGACATTTACTCTAATTGCTGCATCTAATTAAAATTAAGGTAATTAAAAAAAATTTCAAATGTGCTTTAAATTTGACGTAGGGAGTAATTAAAAATCCGATTTAAAAAAATATCATTAGGGCAGTTGGGTGAAGGTTGGTGTACAAGAGGGGAAAAAAAACAGTTTTGCTCTCAGCAAACAGGAGGGAAATGGCAGTCTGTCAGAGTTATTACAGGGGGACTTGGTTTTTTTTCCTTTTTAAAGAGCAGAACTTAACAACTTTGAACATCTGTGCCCTTGCCTTCTCCAAGTGTGCCCATGTCGAACAGCATTTCTTGTGTCAGTCTTCTCCCCAGCAGGAACCAGGCTGGTGAATCAGCAAAATGTCAGTGTCTTCGGAAAGCTGCTACTATTATTTTGAGTTAGCAGTGGTAGAAGAAAGAATGAGTGCTATGTGTCCAGAAATAAATGAGGTAATTTCTGTACTGATACACAGGGTAACAAGTAACTATGTAACTCTGTCAGGGACATAGTCAATTCCAAAGGGATAGGCTCTTTACAGCTCAAGGTATACTAGAAAGAACACCAGACTGGAAATTAGAAGACTGGAGTGCTGGTCTCAACCTTGCCATCAGGTAGCTGTTCAATATCGCAGACTCATCAATCAATCAGTAAGGTTCTGGGCTAAGTCATCTCAGAAGTCTTTTCAGATTCTGAAAAATCTACCACTCTGTACCCACCAACCACTGCCGTCAAGTTGATTCCAACTCATAGCGTCCCTATAGGACAGAGTAAAACTGCCACCATAGGGATTCCAAGGCTGTAATATTTACCGGAGCAGACCATCACATCTTTCTCGCACAGAGTGGCTGATGAGTTCAAATTGCTGACCTTTCGGTAGGCAGCCAAGTACTTTAACCACTCAAAACATGAACTGAAATGTGAAATTACAACTTAGAACTTCTAGTCAATAAACCCTTGAAGGTCAGTACCTTGAATAGAGCCAGTTACATGGCAGATACCCAACATATATTTACTGACTGATGATGCTTGAGGACTCAGACCAGCCTTGGGTTCCTCTGGGCCTAGCATAGTGCCTGGCACATAATAAGCACTCAAAGAGGGTCTGCTGAATGAATTCATGACAGCTTGTACCAAACTCATTCAGAAATAGAAGCTAGAGTTCTACTACAACCCAGAACCCCAAGTGAACTCTAGAGAACACGGCCATCAATCTGGGCACTTGCAGAGCAATTCTTAATAATTCTAACATTCTAACATTACGTGAAGTATCAGAAACATCTAAAGATCACTCTTCAAGAAAGCCTACATTAAAATTATTCACTGATTTATTTCTGTGAGAATTATCAGGCAGGAAAGAACCTAGTCAGACATGCTCTCAGGAGAGAGATTACCAGAAAGATGAAAATAACATGAAGCAACAGCAGATTCTCCATGAATATCACTCAAGCAGACTAACTACATTTGTCTCTTACCTCTGGAAATCTGGATTCAAAGAAAACAACTATTGGAAGAGCATTTGGTTTAAGGAACATAACCTAGTCCACCAAATCAAAACTAACCTCACTGCCATCAAGTTGATTCCAACTCACAGTGACCTCTGTTGTGTTTCCAAGGTAGCACACTGCCCATCTTTTTTCCATGGAGCAGCTGGGAGGTTAAACCACTGATCTTTTGGTTAACAAGCAAATGCCTTAACCACCATGCCACTAGAGCTCTTTAACCTAGTCCACAGGCACATCAGAAAGCTTTTACATGAAAAGCTGCTGCACATCTGATAGCAGAGACAACATATGAAGTGGTTTTGCCAGTCATGATTCAGATTTAGTTACAATTAACATTTACCAGCTGCCTACTATGTGTCAGTACCTAAATGATCCCCTTCAATCTCCTCAATACTGAAAGGCAAAGGTCACCACTCCACTTTTGCAGATGAGAATACCAAGGCCTAGAGAGGCATTAAATTTCACATAAAAAATGAAGCTGGAAAACAAATGTAGGTTCCCTGTTTAAGTCTAATGCTCATTCAACAAGTATCAAATGCTATTCTGCACCCAGGCTTTTTTAAGGAATTGGGAACATGTTCATAGCTGTCAAGTCAACTCCAACTCATAGTGACCCTACAGGACAGAGAAGAACTGCCCCATAGGGCTTCCAATGCTATATATCTTTCCAGAAGCACACTGCCACATTTTTCTCCTGCAGAGCTGCTAGTGGGTTTGAACTGTTGACCTTTGGGTTAGTAATTGAGGACTTAACCATTGTGCCCACCAGGGATCCTACTGGGAACACAGCAGAGGACAGAACATATAAAAATCCCTGTCCTCCTGGAACATCCTAATGTGCTTTCCACCACAGTTCACTGCTTCCACTAGGCTACCTTTTAACAGAACGAGATCTAGATCAACAGATTCAAGTCCTGTCTGGCCTTGCCTCTGTAATGGGCCCCCAACCAGATCTTGAAAACGAATGCTGTTAACGTGTGAACAGATTCATCAGGATGCGTTCTAATACTAATAAGAGCAAATAGGACAATTAAGGATTGCCCACGATTTATTAATAGATAAAACCAGGTTTTCAAATGAGTGAAGAGCAAGCAGCATGTGTTTCAGGATGGGAGATAATTAGAATGGAAATAGAACAGCAGACGTGAGAGCACACATCAGCAGAGACAGACAGGAGATGAGAGTACACAGCACTTCCTCCAGCGTGGCAGCCTCCCTACTGAGGACCGACCTCAAAGGATATCTGTATTATCGTGTCCAAGCAACCCAAGGAGAGACTGCACAGCATTCAGCTCCACCAGAAGGTGGTACAGGTCTGGCATGGTGGCCACCACGTGCATCTCCTGAATGATGTCATTCAGGTCCAGCTCGGATTCCATGAACCTAGGAGGGGAAAACAAGACAGCGTCACTGAAAGGAATGGGGCACTATCAGCACTGGGGAGCACACCAGCAACACAGTGCAGACCAAGGGACAATCTGTCAAAATGTCTACAACAGACCAACCAAGAAGTACACTCATCCAAACATCATATTGTCACACAATTTCCTTGAGAAATCGATTTCCCCATTACAAAAATCAATCTTAGATTCAGATCTCATTACAGGGTTCCCCCTATTCTTGCACAAGTCACAAGCTGCCTTTGAGAGGCGCCTGAAGCATTCTGCAGCATTAAATGATCTGCCCACCAGTCTAGTGGATCAGCTACTATTACCCTGTGGTATAGCAATTCACTCTGTTGTCCACTACAGAGTTACCCTGCTAATCTAAAATGGGTTTCTCTTTCTCCCCACTTCAGACCAAGGGCCAATTATTCCCTTTCTCCCCAAGGAAAACACTGAGATTCTTCCGTCCTTCCTAAATACTCTTCCCTTCCTCACTTCCCCTCCCGTGAGATGATTAAGAGATAAGTCCCAAAGTAAAGCAAACCTAGATTCTGGCATTCCATAACCACCACCAAGTCTTATATAGCATGATACCTCACTCACATTTCCATACTTGGAGCTTCCAAAAAACCTACACTCAGGCATCTGGCATTCCATAATCACCACCAAGTCTTATACAGCATAATACCTCACTCACATTTCCATACTTGGAGCTTCCAAAAAACCTACACTCAGGCACTAAGAACAGAACTGCTGTGTATTCACCTTGGCATGCCCTCCCCCGACTCAATAATGTCTGACATAAAAGAAATGCCAACTAAGCTTTTGATGAACAAGACAGGGAAGTTTGTTCTGAGAAGGAAATGAGCTAATTCATGTAAAGCAATTGAAGGGTACCTGATTGAGTAACTGAAACAAAGTAGAGGTTAAACAGACTCTGGAGCCAGACTGCATGGTTTTAACCCCAGCTTAGCTATCTACTTAACCTCTCCATGCCTCAGTTTCCTCATCTGTTAAGGAGGATAATAACGTTATTGATCTTATTGGTAAAGAGTAAATGAGTAAATATGCAGAAGGCACTCAGAACAATGCCTAGCACATAAAAAGCACAATATAAGTATTTGCTCTTATTATTACTACTACTACTATTGTTGTTATTATTACATGTCTATCATCCTTTCAAGAATATAAATTTAAAGACAGGAACTAAATCTTTGTCTCTAGATAGCCACAGATTGCTGCCTAATTGAATTGAGGTGCTGAAGAGAAGGAACTTAAGCAGGGACTCTTGAAGTCGTGTAGGACACATCAACTTCCAGATCCTAAGGGGCTGGACAGATAAAACCTCCCCAAAAGGCTAGATTCTGTAAGGAATAAAATTTGGAGACTGTAAGTCCTTAAAACATGCCTATTTCAGTGCAGTGAATTATTTGGTATGGCTTTTCTAGCCATAGTCTTTGTAACTCCCACTGGATTACTGGGTTGAACCATGCAAATAAGGTGTGTAGAATGCTGGTGTTGAGATTGGTTAGCTTTGTCACTCTACCAGGCTTAAAATGAGCTTTCCTAGAGATAGAGGGCGGATCTCACTACCATCAAGAGAGAAGAGTTGGAAGTGAAACAGACTGCATCCTTGGACCCGAGATCCCTGGCAGAGACACCCAGCAGAGAGACGGTCACAGTGGAACCACAAGGCACGAGACAAAGTGGTGGGCTTACCTGGCCCACAGAGCAAGAAAGCTGAGTACCCTCAAGCAGAAGGTTTGCTAACAGAGTGGGGTACACCTATGTGTACCTATCGGCAGAGCTAAAAGAGCTTTGTAACACTTGCCCAAGCAGGGCAGAAGCCAGGCCAAGAAGCCAAGGGTCAGAGAGGCATGCTTGAGGACATAGCAGAGGGGAGATGGTCCTGACGGAAGAATTGTATCCTGAGCTAGTTCCTGAACCTGAATTATATGGCCTGTTACTTCCCTAATAAACCCCATAATCATGAGTATTGTCTGTGAGTTCTATTTGGCCATTGCAACAAATTACTGAACCTAGCAGAGAAGTAGTGAATGCCATGAGAGGGATAGTTGGTATCAGAACTGTAAAAGGCTGGAGGGTGATGGCATGTCTGGCCTCATAGGAATAAGCCTTGGGGTACTGATGGTGACTCTGTCTCCTCTTGTGAAATTAGAGAAGGTCAGAAGATGCCATCTCCCTGGCCTTTATGCACTATATTTTAGACAATATCCCTTTCTACTGTTTTTCCCCATTACTATATTTAATCTCAACATCTCTATTATTTTTTATGCTCATAAAATACTTTTTTAAGACAACTTAGAAAATAAAGACAATTCCTCAAAAAAGCAAACAGACATCATCCACAATCCTATTAGCCAGAAATAATCATTTTTAACATTTTGGTATGTTTAAGTCATTTTGTCAACTCATAGACTTCTTTCCCCCAAAAGTAAGCCTATATAGTATGTATGTGTGTGTGTATATATATATATATTATGTATGTGTGTGTATATATATGTGTGTGTGAGTGTGTGTGTGTGTATACACACATATATATAGTTCGAGACCCAGCTGTTGTTGTTGTTAACATAAATGAGCAATTTCCCTTATCATTACATATTCTTTTACAATAGGAAAAGCCAATGCCTGACTTACTGGCTGTCAGTCCTTCTCCTCTCATGGCAAAACCCCTCACTAAGTACAACTGAGTAGAGCACTCGACCCTGTTGAGCCAGACATGGCTTCAGAATCTTTCTCAACATAGTGTATCGGGAAGACACTACCAATCAATCAGTGAGTGGGTGTGGGAGATCCAGCCTATCTGCAATCCCTATTCTAAATCATAAATTTTAAATATCTACATAGTATCCCCTTGTATAGAGGTAGCATAATTTACCTAACCAAACCTCCTCTGTCAGACATTCAGATGTTTTCCACTTTTCCCCTATAACAAATGACACGAAGATGTACACACCTATATTATTGTGTTAGATAAATTCCCAGGAAGGATAGTGCCAAGTCAAACAGTATGTACACCTTAACAGATTTGGACATACTTGGTCAGAAAGGTACCAACAAAATAAAAAGTGCCTATTTCCTCTCATTCTCTTCACAGATAATATTATTTAAAATTTCTTCCAACTTAAGACGAGAACCATAACTTACTTTTTATTTTGCATTTCTGATACTTAAAAAAAAAAAAAACCTCATGCTGTTGAGTCAATGAGTCATAGCGACCCCTCCTTGGGTTTCCGAGGCAGCATGTCTACGGAAGTAGATTCTCCAGTTGTCCTTCTAAGGAGTGGCTGGTGGGTTTGAACTGCCAGCCTTCTGGTTAGCAGCCAAATGCCTTAGGCACTACACCACCAGAGTTCCCTTCTGATACTTCCCAAAACCAAAACCAAACTCACTGCTGTCAAGTTGGTCCCGACTCATAATGACCCCTCCTTGGGTTTCCAAGGTGGTATCACTATGAAAGTATATTGCCCAATCCATTCCAAGGAGTGCTTCTGGTGAGCAGCCAAAGCCTTAGGCACTATGCCACCAGAGCTCCTACTTAAAGTATTTTCAATGTTTACCAACTATTTGCGCTTCTTTGTCCATTTTTGTATCAGGTTGTTCACATTATTTATTGATTTATAAGCATTCTATATATGAATGAAATTAACCTCTGTCATATGTTACAAAAATTAACCAGAGAAAAATATTTGCCCTTTAATTTGTAAACTGTGCTTTTTGACAGAAAGGTTTTTGAAAGTTGGAAGCAGTCAGATCTCTTCTTACATGAGTTCTATTCTAGATGTAGCGTAAGCACATCTTCTCCATGGTGGGATGAGATTTATTTTATGGTGCATTTTTATGTTTCAATATATTTAAATGCCACATATTTAATCTATCTGTAATGTATTTTAGCAATATGATATAGGGCAAAAATCTAACTTTAGTTTCTGCAAATGTTTGGCCAGTTGCCCCAAAACCATTATTAGCTATTCATTCCCCACAGATTTGAAGAAATGCGACCTCTATCATATACTTAATTTTAATAGGTACCCTGATCTGCTTCTGGACTTATTACTCCATTTCATTGGTCTGCAAATTCCTGAGCCAGGGCCACACTATTCACACTAATATAGCTTAACAGTACATTTTATGTCTGTTAATGCAAAACACTCCCTCATTACTCTTCTTTTTCAATGTTTTCTATTCTCACTTGCTTCTTATTCCAAGTAAATTTCAAAATTATTTTATCAAGATCCCTCCAAAAACAGAACTTTTTAAAAAAAGGTTTCCACTGTTCTTGCCTTAGATGTGGACTTTTAAAAACAACTGCTTTCTGGAGACTAACTTGACAACAGATTTTTACAGTTTACCTGGCAGAATTGACGAGGGAAATTGTATAGTAAACAGTAATAAACAAAATCATGTTAAGTATAAGGAATTAGAATTGGGTGCTAATTAATGGGTGAAAGTTACCAGGAGAGAGGCCTCTGGTGGTATCCTACAGGGCTCTGTCCTTAAGCTTGTTTAGAACAACTGTTGTATTGTTATATTTGATCAACAGCTTGGGCAAAGATATACGGAAGGCAAACTTAACTAATGTCATAGAACACAAAGCTTTAGGAGCTTAGAGTGAACACACCAGTGGACAGAATCAAATCAAGAAGTTCCTGACAGGCAATAATGATGGGACAAATCTAACAGAAGGAAAATTACCTGGAATCCACATAAAGAACTGTATTGAACTAAAAAGCCAAGTAGCCAAGTGCAAAAATATGAGATGGGAAAAATACAGTTAAGGGAGAGCACATGTATAGAAAGGATTTGATGGTTTTAGGCAATTGTAACTGAAGTACAAATCAGAACCATAAAGTCCTGCCAGGACAGAGACTATTTCTTATTCATTTCAGGATGCCCAGCACCTAGCACACCACTCCATCCCTGATCCACCACACAAACTCGGCAGATGCCTGTCAAATGAAGGAACACAGGGAA